GCATGGAGTTGAGAGTCAAAGCAGGTCTCAGGGCTCCAGAACCACCCCTCCCTACCACCCCGACTCCCCCAGCCCCGGCTCATTGAGACTGCGCACCCTGCCCCGCTGTGGCCCTGCTCGGTGCAGTGTGTAGGAAGCGCTCAGTTAATGCTGAATGAAGTCTGTGCCCCCTCGGAGCCCGCAGGAGGGACTCAAACAGTGCTGACTGCAGGCAAGTGGCTGCCCCTCCAGGGTGCACATCCGGCTCCAGGGAGCCTGGCCAAGAGCAGAGCTTGCACGTCTTGTACCCGGTCAAGCGTCAGTTCACATCCATGCCGACTGGGTTCCCAGTCACCCTTCCGGCAGTTGGGGCCATGTGAATCTGCATCCCACCAAAATGCAGGATTTCACCGGGCCTCAGGGTCTGCACCCTTCTCCGGGTCGGGTCCTGGGCAGGCTCTGGCTCCCCTGAGGACTCTCAGCCAAGAGAGCCCATTATTGGGATCCCCAATCAGTCAGGGAAGTGTCGGTGGCCAGACCCAGCCAGATGCTAGTACCAGCCCAGCAACGTCAAACTCTTCTGATTTTTCCACTTATGGTTCAAAACTTGACAAATACGTGCTCCATCTGCTGGAGGTGGGGTGTGGTTGCAGCCCACCACCTGTTAAAGATAGAGCAGTGGCTAGGCCTGACCCAGGGGTGGGCCTCTGGGGTGGAGGCAGGGCACTGGACGTGCCAGCCCTGGGGGGCAGGATGGTGATGGGGAAGGCAGCATCTGGCAACCAGCTTGAGCCAGGTGACCCTGGTTGGTAGTGGCAAGAGGCCATCACCGAGGTGGACAGTGCCAGCTCATGAGCCAGCACCAAGCAGCAGAGTTCACATTCTGACTCTGCCATTTTGGGGGGATGTTACAGCCCCAGAAGTCTTGGTTTCCTCATCCGTAAAATGGAGTAAGAACAAATGTGAACATTAAAAGAGATACTGCAGGGGGTAGGGGGTAATAGCTCAATGGTAGAGCATGTGCTTAGCATGCATGAGGTCCTGGGTTCAATCCCCAGGACCTCCATATAAAAAAAGAGAGAGAGAGAGAGGTGGAAGAGGTAATCCCAGGACAGCATTAGCACAGGGCCCGGCGCCTGCAGGGCACATTCAGCTAACGTCTGCGGCCACTGCTGTTGTCACGGTCATTGTTAAAGAGGTGTCCTGAGAACCAGGGGGTTAGTTCCCCTAGAAGAGTAGGGGGACCCCCAGTAAGAGGTGAATCAGCCGTCATAGCTCTTCCCGGCTCACCCAGGCCACATAGCTTTGCCTCACTCCACGCCCCCACCCAGCCCTCCTCTGGAGGAAACAGCACAGGCCTGAACGCAGGGCCTAGCTCTACTCCCCCAGTCGGCAGCCTCAGTCCCCTCACCTGTGAAATGGGATAACAAAGAACTTCCCCATGGAGGAGGCGAGGGTGGGAGGACCA